ACGTGGCTAATGACCAACTGACGCACCGTGGAGATAACGCAATCATACCAGCTGGTCGTATATACGTAACCTTCGCTTTGTTTCGCCGTCCTTTCTGCAATTCACCGACATGTTTATCCTTCATACACCACGTGTCATTGCCACTCTATATTTTTTCCCCTCCGACATTAACCGTCTTTTATAATAACCGAAGTTGGATATTGTCGGGTTGATCAATCAAGAAGTTCACTGTGACTTCCACCTATTAAGTTTAACCAGTGTCACGGCTGACACGTGTATCGCTTTATAAATACGTTAAACCGTTGACACACATTTGAGTTAGTCTTTTTTTTTTTCTTGGTGAAAACACCGTAGGGCCTCCAACAATGACTCAATGACTTCCGAAAGTACTATTTCATCTCGGCGTTGTCGTCGTGAGAATAGTGACGCAGTTAATGATTCACTGGGATTACGAAATGCCGTCGATGTTAGAGTTATTGTTACTTTTAGCCTTCACTGGTGAATATTTTTATTTTCAGACCTAAATCGGGTTTAACTTGAAGAGAAAAAAAGCGAGAATCATCACAATTTAATTCTTTCATGAGTAGCTATGTGTGTATTCATTCATATTTCTCAAAATTAGACTCTTCTTTTGCAATCCATCAATTGCAATTTCCAATATGTATTTCATCCATGCAATAAGTTTCATCCGAATCTCCAGGGAAAAATAACGATACCAGGAAAAATTTCCAATCACTTCCGTTTCGTATGCGATTGCGTAATATTTATTAATGACTTTCTGGACAATTATCTCGGCAATTGTCTCAATCCACCAATCGTTCTAATTATCTTGGAAATTATTTAGTATTTAATAGTGTCCGATAATGAAAAGAAAAAAAAAAAATCATCAAATTATAATTGAATATTTGCTTGACCACTCAAATCATCAAAATTCGAAGGAATATTTTCATTATTGGATTATGAAATATCTGGATTAAATCTGTGCCCTGAAAAATATGACGAAATAGATCTGGATGATTTGAAAATCCGTTAGTCTTCCTCAAAGCGCACGCGCCTTTTCGCCCTGAATGTCAATCCCGTTGGTAAAAATGGTGGGGATACACGTGCCGCACGTTTGTAATCCAAATTATTATTATTGTTAGCTGCAGCGGTGCGCGATTTCGTCACAAACTAGTTTCGTCTCACAATCGTCTCTCTGTTTTTTCAATCGTGTGCCACCAGGAGCGAGTGTGCGCGAAACTCCTGGGTCTCAGTCTGATCCGCAGGTTCAGACGGAGACGAGTTTCCTCGGATATCCATTAACCACCAACTCTACACTCAGTCACACGTATCCATTCACTCAACACCAACCGACACGTGCTATCACCAGTTCCAGCATAAACAATTACCTCGACACACGGTGCACCCATTAATTACGCGTATCGGTTAACTCTCAACCATTGTGAAGATTTTTACAAGTAATTGTGCTCAAGTTATCGCCAGTTGATTTTACTAACGTGACAAGTGGTTGACAGGAGCGCAATTTCACGGAAAAATTAGTGATTCCGTAAGGTTTGTTGGAAAATACAGTATTGCATATCCAGTGGATAAATCCAAATATTTCAGGATGTGCCAGGATTTTTGAACGATTTTTTTATTCACTTACATATTTTATTTCTTATTGCGAACTATTGTAATTCGTTGATTCGTCTCCGGAAGTACAAAGTCTAGTCCTGAAGATGTTTCACTATTGTTTCATTGAATTAACACCTTTTAAGACTGACTAAACCTAATCATTTCTAAATTCTAATTCCATACTGATATATAATTGAAAAAAAAAAGGTTCTGAAACCTGGAACAAATTGAATAATTTATTACCCATAGATTCATTGTTTAATGACCTATTAAATTAATCATAACTCATTAACCAACAGATTCCCCAAATAATTCACTGAATTATTAATTACCACAAACAAATATTCTATTCTCGAACATCAGGATGGGGGGATAGTTAAAAAATAATGATTGACCTTTATTCCTCATCTTCCAATGGACATCCTACCACTGCCAAACATCCATTATTTTTATTTCCTCTTATCAATAAATAGCATTGGATATACGGTATTTCACGATAAGGGAAAATACTGGAAAAATTCAATCAGGCCGTGAACAATCGATCAAAGCCCCGGGGCTGGATGTGTGTAACGAGAGGTGAGAGGGTATTGTCGCATGTACATGGGTCTATGGGGGGGGCAACGACCCTTTGCCACGTGTACTTTCCCCTCGTACTCCAGGCAGTCCAGGCATTTTGGCAGGATAGGCGTTTCGTGAGAGTGGGTGAGAACAAGCTGGGGCCCACAGCTACTTTATTGCTGTCTGTACTCGACGAGGACAGAAGTCGTCTCGAAGGGAGAGGCAATGACTGGGGAATGGGTCGCACGTGGCAGACAACATGTTCACCATGTTCAGGGATAAAAGATTTTTACAAATCAAAAATTTTCTACA